GCCCAGGCAGAGGTCACTGCAGCGCCCACGGCAAAGCTGTTCAATCCCGGGGGGGTTGCTGAGGGAGAGGGTGCGAGGTTGTGGTTTGATTTCCGACCAGAAGGGCTTGAGTCAGCCAGACGTGTTTTGTGACTGTGGCCTCGGCGATTCCCAAACCCCCTCTCTGTGTTCTAGATGTTGAAAGTTCAGCCTGCCAGGGTTCTGCTTTGCTCCAGAAAGAAGTGTGAAGATAACCCAAGGTAGTTTCGGTCTGTTACAAACAGAACGAGTTGTTGTGTTCCTTGTTCTTGTGCAGGCAGAGTCCTTACACACAACACGACCTGTAATGGGTTGGAGGGGAAAGATACCCCCTCTTAGAAAGCATTCATTTTTTCCATGAAGCACTCTCTTCAGTCTCAGATATCTCAGTGCTTGTTTTATTTTGCTGCTTTGGGTTTGTTTTCCCGTTTCTCAGGAGCCCACACAGCCGTGTCCCTGCTGCCTTGCTCCGTGCTGTGTGGCAGGCTGCCTGGGAAGGAATATGGAGCCTGCCCTGCTGTGTAGGCCCACGTTCCTGGGAGCAATGTAACTGTATTCTCACAGCACTGCGGGTGCAGAGAGGGTTTGTCAGCCTGAATCTGAGGAGGTGATACTGACAAACCGGTGTTGCTTTGCCTCTGGACTTAATTTATCACTAACGAGGCATTCCGGGTTCATTGTGATTCTTAAGTACCCCTACAGGGCCCAACCTGCCCCAGGGAAGCTTTTCATTCTTAGGGATTCTTTCCTGTCTTTTTTCTGGTAGCTGGGGGTGTAAGAGACTTTTGCCATTGAAAAAGGTCCCTTAAGGTTCTAATTGGCGGATGAGTGGGATCGATGTGTGGAATTGTGATCTGTGCCATCTGATTTTTTCACTGGCACGGTAAAATACTTCCTGTGATAGGAAGTTCAGATGGGAGAGGAAGCAGAATGAGCTGACCAGCCAGTCTGTCTGCCAGCGTCCTTAGGAATAAAACGTTTTCCTTTATGGAACTGAGGTTTTCCCTGTCACGCTTGAATCATTTTTCCCAGTGCTGAAAACATGCTGAGGAAACACAGTTATCTTAACACACAGTGTTGAATTTGAGTCTTCCTTCTTACTGTAGCAGTTGTGACACTGGATGTCACTTCTTTTGAGAGTATTTGACAAATGAAGAGCTGGGTTGCAACTCAAGGAACGCGTGAGAAGATGAGTATGTCAGCCTAGTAGGTATATCTGTTGAGATACCAGAAGAAGGGCACTGAACCTGGCATCGGATGATGACAGACAGAGATGCCATGGCTTCCCCAGAAGGGTGGTGCCATTGTTACTGGGGTTTGGGTGGGTGTTAGCTCTGTTAGATGGTGCAGCTTAACTGCCCAGAAGATGGTTCCCTGTAGAGTCCTGTGCCAAAAACACAGGGGGCTGTTACGCTCCTCTCAGAAACCCAAAAAACAACCCTGCAGGACAGCTTGATTTGACAGAACTGCTTGCTGTGCCTTGGGGCTCAGCCAGTTCAGATTGTAGTGGATTAGGTGAAGGAGATCATAAAGTAAAAGGATTCTGGCAGATTAGACCAGGTTGCTGGTCCTTACTGTGGCCGGAGGATGACGACTTACCAAGCATGACAGAGAAGGTGGTTTCAGTACTGACCAGGTTTGTTTGAGGCTTTCAATTGCCCTTGTGGGTTGGTTTCTTTTTCATTTCAGTCAATGCCTATTTCACTTTCCCATGGAGTAAATAACCTGCGGGGCTGTAGTACAGATGTCCTGGCTTGTGCCAGCTGGACCGTCCGTTGCCGTTGGGGATTTTGAGCTTTACTCCAGGTGTGGCTTCTCACACAGTGTCTTGCAGTAGTGGCATCTCAGAGTCACGCTTGTGGATCATGGTAGCAGGCACACTCCTTAAGGCAGTATTTGCTTGTCTACAGTAGGAAACACAGTTTAAAAGTGATAATTACATTTAGGAGAAACCCGTCCAAGACTGAAAGCACCTCTCGCCTCGACTTCTTTTTTCCCCCAGCTTCTGTGGTGTTGGAAGTGGCCTGGTGTCCCTTGTGACTTTGCTTTGTCTGCTTGCATTGTGAGGAGCATCTTTCTGATTGGCAAGAGCACTTTGCCAAATTATATTTTCACTCTAGGTAATATATTTAAATCTGATCAGTGATACAAACAAGACACGCTGTTGCAGGTTTACATAAAACTGTAGCTCAATTTCTGTGTGCCTTTAGTAATGGAAAAATTGTTCTAAGGATGAATTGTTCAGAGGAGGAAATTTTCAAATAGTTTTCTGATAAAACAAATGGTGAGACCCGCATCTCCCTCACAAGGTTTAAAGATTTGCCCTTAGGAGGTTGTCTTTAAGTTCAGATGGCTCCTGTGCTCCGTTCAGAGCTCAATTAAGCTTTTTCTATTGTTGAAGTAGAATTGGTGAAGCATCCAGGTGACACTGTTGTTGGTCTGTCTTGAAACAGGATGGAGGTGGCTTTGAACTACCTCTTTTGGAGGAACCAAACACTTAGTGCCAAAGTTTATCCTCTGAGTACCTCAATTTGAGCATGTACACCATCCTTCCGTGGCTCAGTCATCACCTCAGGTAGCAATGCTTTGTCACGTGGATCACTAGCCACATTTCCTTTTTCTAAGGGATAAGAGAAATAATAATGAAAAAGCATACATACATTGTGAGGTAAAAAAAGGCTTCTCTAACATGAGAGCTGCTTATCAATCAAGATGCCTGCCAGGGAACATTTCTGCTATTCAACACTAGTGGCCTTCACCACTTCTTCAGAAACGTTGTTGCTGCCCTGCAGTGCAAACTGCTGGATGGGTGATACTTGGTTTTGGTTGGTTTTTTTCATTTGGTTAAGGAAGTGACAAGCAAAGTGTAACAAATACAGTTTTATGTACTAAGATACTGACAGACTGCCCGAATTTGCACACTATTAATTCAGTGTGGACTTGAGAAATTGCTGTAGCAGTTGTTTCCCAAGTACTTCAGTGCAATTTTCCTAATGTGAGCTGTGTCTCATCCTTTTAGCCTTTAACTATTTCATCTCGTTGCAAAGACTAACTTGCTTTATTTGTCACAGCTGGCTTTTGTTATCTGGGCCATTTAAGGTTGTTTTTGTAGAGCTGAGGGAAAGCTGCCATAACCTTCTACCAGAATTTAACAGAATGTAGCTGGGATGTTGTCACAAAGTTAGATGAGTGAACCCAGCTTCACACTTGGGGTTGAGCTGGGATGTTGTCACAAAGTTAGATGAGTGTTACTATTTATTTATTACTACCCAGCTTCACACTTGGGGTTTCCTCTTTGAGGGAAAATGTCCTTTCTGCTTTTGTTCATTTGCTTATCTTCACATGCAAGTAACAAATAGTTCCCTTCTGTGCTAACTCTCCCATTGTTTTTGTTTACTTGGAAGAAGTGAACATGGAAATAACTCAAGACAGGAACTTGGTTTTTTGGGTGACAGGATCATCTGGTCTCTCTTGTATTCTTAAGTCGATGTTGTTATATGTACTTGGACCATGCAAATTGAAGTTACAAGAAATATTGCACCGGTGCATGTGCATTTCCCTTCAATGTTGGAGTCCTGTTCCTTGGGTGAGTGCCTCTGGGTCCCTTACCTCTGAGCCTTTCCTGGAGAAGAGGGGGATTCCATGTTTTATCGGGTCCTCCAGCTTGTGAGTCCCTTATGAAGAATATCTTGTGGCTGCTGGTTCTCTATTGTTCAAGAGTGCACTGCAAATCCAGTGTCCCTCCCTGGTGGCACAGGAGTTGGAAATACTGAACAGGGTGGAAATTAGTTCTTGTTGATTAATGTCAGCTTGAAGCAGGCAAGAATTCCTCTGGATCAGCAACAGTTGCACGGGTGTTCATGTTGCCCTGTTTGTGTAGCTTATGGCTTTCATCAGTGTACATGATGGAGAGGGGGTCTTGAGAAGTACAGTTGGACTGTAAAGAAACTAGCGGATAAATGTATTTGATTTCTGGTGTTTGCCATCTCAGTTTCAGTAATTTATTTTTTTTTCTGGCTAGCACGTGTGCAAGTGCCTTGAGCAGTAAGTTCTCAGGAAGTCACCTTCCCCATGGCTGCTCAGGCTAAGAATATGGCTCATTTTATTCAAGTGAGAAGAGCACTCAGATTCTTCTCTCTTAGCTTGAGAGAGAGAGAATCTTCCTTGATTCTTGAGTATGTACTAATGAAAACTGGAAAAATAGCTTTTAGAGAGTATCAATGGGGCTTCCACTAGTGCCTGGAAAAACCTGGAGATACATTTATTTGTGAGTTTGGAGCATTTAAATCATTGATGTCAATGTCTCGGGTTCTGGATAAAATTTGACTGGTTCTTTTACCTCCAAAGCCCTTGGGCCTACTAAGACCCGGGTCCTTGACTTTAAGGAGGTGCCATAATAATTGGGACACATGGAGATTTAGAACCTGGTTTCATGGCACCCATGTTGATAGCAAGGAGTACCTGCATTTCTCTTTTACTGCCTTTTAATGACTCTGAGACTTGAACACTTCATTAAGCCTCTGCTTCCCCGGTTGAGATCTCTGAAGAGAAAACGAAAGGAAGTAAAACTGAGACATCCTGTAAAATCCGGTGATACTGTGGTGTAAATCAATAGTGCTGTCATTGGAAGGAGGTGGACAGTACTCATCTCTTTGACCATGTAAACCAACTTCTACTTCAGGGATTGGTGGTGTGGGATCATTGTGCACTTCTTAGATTTTCTGAAAGTTTTAGGCAGCCTTTCCTGAAATAGCACAGCTTCCAGTGAAGAAAAGATCCAGTGTGATACAGATCTGGTGTAGTGTAATGACTTGTCGCAGCTTATTATTGTGTTTTGTACCCAGAGGCATTTCCAGTGTTCCTTGAGGTATGCCAGCAATTTGTTATCATATGTACCTTGCTTATTGCTATATTCATAAGAAAATGTACTGGCTATGATCTGCTTTTTAATAGGTTCTTTAAAAAAAATAAAAATGTCATGAAGCTCTGTCATTGTGTATTGTCACAAGTACTTGTGGTGAAGATTGTGTCACCAATTTTGTCTTCATCACCTGCTTGTGAGACAGGGGAGCAAAAAGGAGAATAGTCTCACCTGTAGAAACTGAAGCCTTTGTTCTTTTAAGGTTGGTTTCTAATTAAAATTCCCACGTGGATGCCATTGCTGTAGTATGAGTCATGTTGGGAAGATCCCCAAATTTCTCAGGTTGTGTTTCTTCAGAATATTTAATATTAATATTAATATTTGGGGTTGGTCTGCTTATCAAAATTATTTCCCCTGGGGCTTCCCATGAAACACAACTAATACTGCATTTCAGAGACTTGGAAGGTTGAAATAAAAATTTTGAACAATCCTAAAATAAGTTCTGATTCCTCATTTCCAAGTTCAAAACTTTGTATTTCGGGCTTTGTTCCTGTTAGTGTAATTGTTTCCATTCTAAAATCATTATGGTTATCCTTTTATGGGGAAATTGTGATATATAGGACTGCCTTCAAACTAACATTAGTTTTTTTAATTACAGCATTTGACACTGTGTACCAAAGAAATGGTGATGGAGAAGCCAAGTCCCCTGCTTGTAGGGCGGGAGTTTGTGAGACAGTACTACACTCTGCTAAATAAAGCTCCTGATTTCTTGCACAGGTAATAGTTGGACACACAAAGTGACTGATGTTTCTGAGCAAAGTGTGTAGTGTTCATTATAAATCAGATAAACATTACATTCTGAGTATGGAAGGAAACGGACCTGGCTAACTTTTGGGCTCCTGGAATATGATATCTTCTTACTGAAGAGTCCTTAGGGTCCAGAATCAAGTCTGATCATATGGGCGTATGGTGTGTTAACAAGGAAATTCCTCTGTGGAAAAGTGAGATGCTTCTCATCTGGTAAAATGGTAAGATGGATGTATTCCAGACATGCTTTTCTAAAAAGACACAAAAGAAAATGGCAGAGGAAGCACTTACATTTTATACCAAGACAAGCATGCTAATTATTTCAGAATACCATATTTTACATTGCCTCTGAGAAGTTTTTATCCCAATTGTGGTTGGAGATCTAAGGTTATGAGGAAAAATTGTCTGCAGAGACATATAGCCTGTGGATGGTGACTTCACTGCTTTATAGGAGGTCCTAGGTACTCTAGAAGCACTTTTCTGATGCATTGAGCTCTACAGCTTTTGGCTAAAATACTTGTTGCATTTGATGATGTTTTTTCACAGCTATGACCTGTACATCTCTTCACTTGCAGGTTTTATGGCAGGAATTCTTCTTATGTCCATGGAGGACTGGATGCCAGTGGGAAACCACAGGAAGCAGTGTATGGTCAAGCTGTGCGTATCACAATCAGTCCTCTAGTCCTCAGTAACATTCAGAACTTACTGTAGAAATCACTCTTTTTCTTTACCAGTTACTTTTACTTTTCTGGCAAAGAATGTATTGTGATACTGCCTCCTGCTCAGAGGCAGATGGGAGTTTGTTGGCTTGACTTTTTTTTTAATATTTGACTGTAGCTGCTTTTACTGGGAGTTGTGTTTGACACATCAGCTTTGCATCTGGGCTGCAAAAAATGTATTTAGGGTGGAAATAAAAATCCAAAGGACCTATTAGACTTGCCCAATTAATGTATCTTCTTTCAGTTGGAAGTGGTTCCTTGGGAAGGGGACTTTGATCTTTGGGAGTTACATGGAATTCTGTATACTCCCCACTCCTGTGACACTTAGGTACATTGCAGATGTATAGAGGGTTGTTTGTTTTTTATGTTTAAACACAAGGTTAATGCTGTCCCTTTCACAGGCCCTTTAAAAGATAAGCCTTAAAATAGGTTATATGTTGTAATACAGCTGGAAAAACTGGGTAGCAAGTTGAACACTATTTGACTGCTCTGAGAAGCACCTGAATCCTGGTGGAAAACTTGAGAATAAAAGTTAGATGAGCTCAGGTAGATTGTTCACAGAGCAAGACACTTCTTGGTTCCTGTATTTCCCTTTTGAGCTACAGTGAGGGTGCTTTTTTGTATTAGTTCAGACTCTGGAATTTAAAAGGTGTAAAGCTCTGTACAAAACTGTACAAAGCTACAAAATGTAGCTAAAATGTGTCTGTCTTTCTAGGAGATACACAAGAAGGTGATGTCACTACAGTTCAGTGAATGTCACACCAAGATTCGTCATGTGGATGCTCATGCTACTCTGAGTGATGGGGTGGTTGTGCAAGTCATGGGAGAGCTGTCCAACAATGGGCAGCCAATGAGAAAGTTCATGCAGACTTTTGTGCTTGCTCCAGAGGTAAGTATATATAAGACTGTGTGTCACTTCAAATAATGATGGTGGAAACCTGACCTGTAGCTACAATTTATCATACAGGGGCAAAAGATACGGTGGCTTTTAGAGCTTGTCCTGGGGGTTGTCATTGAATATGTCACAGTATATGAGTGCAGAGAAATGAGTTTATTGAACCTGTCCTGAGCTGCTTCATGTTCTTAGACTTGAAGTATTGAAGGAGTAATACAAAGCAAATTTGAGCTTGTGTTTAGGAGATGCCACTGGCAAAAATAAATAAATAGTGTTGAGCTCTGCAGATCAAGTCTCTAGTGTAGTTCTGTACTCTCTTCAAGTGTGCTGGTAAATGTGAGTATGAGTTGATGCTGCACAAGTTACTGTTCAAAATTAGCTCTTAGTGCAGAGCTGTGTAGGGGTAAAGGGTGTCTTGTGTTCTTTCTGCTTGTTTCTCTCCACTTCATTAGAAACTGTAATTCCTTGATGAAACTGAAGGAGTATATATTCCATGAGAACCTGTGATTGCTGTGATTTAGCAAAATTCGTTTTTTATTCTGCTTGAAACTTCCTTTTTCACTTGGGCTACAGTTGCTGTTCAATTGTTGATTTAGAGAAGAGTTATCACGTGGAAAATGGCCTCAATGAAATAATCCCATTCTAAAACATTGGAGTGTATCCAGAAACTTGTATCTCTAATCCATCCTTCTTGTTGCCTGCTGATATATCATACATGAAAAAAAATGCATGTTGCTTTTTTACAGGGTTCAGTTCCAAACAAGTTTTATGTCCATAATGATATCTTCAGATATGAGGATGAAGTATTTGGAGATTCAGAAGGAGAACTTGATGAAGGTGAGAACTGCTGTATGGTTTTTGTTTTTCTTGTTCCTCTAGCAGAGCTTTCAGAAGTGTCTAGAGGAGATGAAAAGACACAAACTGTATTACATTCTTTTACATTCTTGTGGGAAATAGTCATTTGGGAGGGAGCTGAGGCAGGGAGTGTAGGTTATGTTGGAACTGTCTGCTGGCCCAAAACATTCTGTCAAATGAAGACCATATACTAGTGCCTTATTCCTTGAAGGGCTTGGGAGAGAATGGAAATAATGAGCAATAGTACCTCTGCTGCTGTTTCATCAGGCAGACTTGATTTCTCTCATCAGTCAGATTCTTAGCTAAAGTCTTCCAAAGAAAAAATCTAACTGGCTTTTAAAAAATGACATGTAGTTCACCTTCACATCATCATCACATTCAGTGATTTGTTTCTATTCAGGGGCTGAACTTGACCTGAGGTGTTTTTTCCCCTCTTCACTGAGGCAGACCAAATCAGAGTACAGCCAGAATAACTACATGTGTTCCCTGGGTAATTTCTGGAATTTTTTCATCTCAGTTCTGTGGAGTCAAGCATCTTAGGCCATTGTCCTTGTATTTGAGGTTAATCTTCTTAGTTTTAGGTACTGAGATTTATGAGCTAATGCTGCAGTCTTTCTCTTTTACTGCCAACATATGAAAAGCATCTGCTGCTTCAAAAGACCATTGAGCCATCCTGGCAGAACTTCCTAGCAGCAACATGTCTCTGGTTTCTCCTTTTTGTGAAAATAGTAAGAAATAAAGCCTCTTGAATGAGCAGTAGGGTCTTCTGTCTTTTCTTGCAGCTAATTGTGCCTTATGCTGTTGATGAAGTTTTATTTTGATTACTACTAGTTTAATATGCTTTTATGTGAAGTGTGGCTTGTGCACACTTGCTGGGATGTTTATGGAAGTTTTGATTTTTATGTCAGAGTCTGAAGAAGAGGTGGAAGAGGAGCAGGAGGAAAGACAACCATCACCTGAACCTGTGCAAGAGAATGCAAGCAGTACTTACTATGAAAACCACCCTGTAACGTAAGAAGTCTCCATTTTTAAATATGAAATTTATGTGGGGTTTTTTAATAAAAATAATACAAATATTTTGGATTTAGATACTGGATGTGATTTAGCAGGTAAAACTACCTTTACCTTAGGAAAACTACACTTGATAGACATCTGTGTTAGGTAACGTGATGTTATTTTGAAACATTGCTGCTTCAATGGAGAGAAAAAATGATCTTACATTTGTTAGTTATTTTTTTATATGTTTTATATAAAAGGTAGCAGCCATGTTTATGTGCACACTTAGTGAAGTCTTTGTCTTATATTTTATAAACCTGTAACTGAGGTGAAAAGGTGTAATTTATATGACCAGATCTGCTAACAAGGGCCTGGTATGTGACTCTAATTTGGGTAGCTGAACCTGAGAGGAAGGTCTAGTTTTTGAGAAGTTCCTGTACAGCTGTATTGGAAGAAGAGGTCTCTGTCCTGAATGTCTTAAGCTCAAACAAAGTTAGAGAAAAAAAGTTTATTTGTGATTTATAAGTAAATATGTTTTATTAAAAAAACCAAACAAACCAAAACCCCACAAAGAAACAAATAACACCAAAGCATTGTGCTTTTTTTTTTTTTTGTACCAAAGGAATGCCTTTGAAGAGGGCCAGGATCCACTTCCTGATTTCCTTGTTAAAAAAATTTAATGTACAACATCATAAGAGGATGTGTGTTGAGTGCATCAGTGATCATGCCAAGTGCTGGTCACATAGTGCTTTTCAGGAGAGATCCTAGGGAAGAGGGGAGTCTGCTGGAATTCTGGCAGTGACTTACTCAAGATAATGCAGGAAGCTTTTGATGCCTAAAATCATAGTCAGGTGATGTTTTTGGGCTACTGTGCCAACTGGAAGTTGCAAAGGCAACATTCATCAGACAGTCACTTTGGGATAGGCTGTAGCAGGAGCTATACAGACAGAAGTTTTTGGAATTTGTAAGCTTTTTGGGAGGCTGAAGAGAGAAGTGAAGAACTTCTGAACAGAGTAGAGAAGTTGCATGAGTTTTTCAGTGAACAAGACTCACAACTTCTTTGGTAAGGAACTTTTATGGTGTTTTTATAAACAAGCTTCAGGTTTCATTCCAAAACTGGCTTTGTTCCTATGTATAGCTTAATCTTCCATGGGTCTCTCACTATGCTTCTGTTCTCTTAGGAGCAGCACTTCTTGGGTTTAATACCCATTCCTTAAAAGTTTTATATGTCTGAGTGATTTTCAGACTGTCTGCAGAGAATTGTAAGCATGTCTTTGCTTCAGGAGAAGTAAAATTTGGATTTGTATGCAACTAAGGGGCATAGATTGATTTCTCACAGTATTGTACCTCTAGGTGCTGTATGGCAGCAAATGAAAACAGAATGACCTTTGTCATGAACACCAGCTGTTACCATAGCAAAGCTTATAAAAAGTCATAAAATACAAAGCAATTGATAAGCTGCATGAAATGCATTTGATTATTGTAGCAATGGGATAGAGGAGGCACTAGAAGAATCATCTCATGAACCTGAGCCAGAATTGGAATCTGAAACAAAAACTGAGGAGCTGAAAGCTGAAGTAGAGGAAAAGACCCTTGAGGAGCTAGAAGAGAAGTCTCCATCTCCACCTCCTGTAGAGCCTGTTTCACTACCACAAGAACCACCAAAGGTGAGTTAAAAGTCATATCTGTGCTTCTAGGTGCAGATGGTTAACCAAAAGATGTGGATTTGAAGCTAGCTTATTTGAGTGGCCAGACTGTTACACCTCTTCAGTCTCATGCTGTATGAACAGCCAGACTTGAACCTTGAACTTGTAAAAATTTGAACTTTTGTTAAAAAAGGAAAGAATGTTATTTTTTTAATGCTGCCCAAGTCACCTATCGTAAATTTAATGCTCTGCTTGTCAAGTGTATGTGTGGTTTTATGCATGTGTAAACCTTTTTAAATGTGGAGTTAACATATGTTAAGAAAACATCTCAATCTACCACCAACAAAAATGTCATACAATGGGAACCACTGCTCTTCCTTGGAAAACCCCATAATGCATTGACACTTGCAAAACTGCAGGCAGTATAGGTTTAGAACCAGTATGGGGGCACTGACTGTCTCCCCTAGAGGCAGGATGCCTCCTCTTAAAAGCCTCACTGCACACCATGTGTCATCTGCTATGGTTACACTTAGGTACTTGGAAAGAGATGGGAGGAACTGGTGAAAGCTGGAGAGAGTCCGTTTTCTGGCTCCAGCATGTCTCCCATATTATTATTTTTTTCAATCCTATTTCTCTTTTTCGTTTTTACTTCTAATTTCTGGCATCCACATTCTTTCTTGGTGCAGAAGACACGTAACACCACAGGGTTTTCAGTCCTAGGTTTGTTACATCCTGGCAAGCTGTGATCTGGGGATGCTGAGGGAACAGGGCTCACACACTTGCTCCATGCCACTGGAGTCCACAGACAGCTAGAACTGCAAATCCTTCTGTATCTTCATTGTAATGCTTGCACAATGGTTATTTAATAGTCAGATATGAACCAACAGTGTGTTTTCAGCAGATGAGTTTCCCGGTAGGAATGTCAGTGGTTTGCCATGATTAGTAGCCTAGGTTTGTTGCATTTCCTGCAGGCTTTCTCTTGGGCTTCAGTGACCAGTAAAAACCTGCCTCCTAGTGGTACTGTTTCTTCCTCTGGAATTCCACCCCATGTTAAAGCACCAGTCTCACAGGTAACCCATCTGTGAACACCTTGGATTGTCTCATTACTTCTGCAAACTGCTTCAGTTTTTTAAATTAACAGATCCATTTGTTTGACTTCAGTTGCTCAAATTAATTGTGTCTTAAATGTTAATGCACTCACCTTGTCACAAGCGAAGAATTGTGTCTTAAATGTTAATGCACTCACCTTCTTGTCACAAGCGAAAGCACGTACATGTAACAGGTGTAACTTGGGTGATGGTGGTGTTAAAATCTCTTCATGTGCAAATAGGAAATCACTACTGAAATTTTTTTACCTATCTTAATGGGATATGGTTTGGTTTCCAAGAGAAAATGAAATGAAACAAAACACCAACTCCCTGCAAAAGAGTAGTTTTCTGAAGTGTGTTTGAAAGGGGTATGTCATTGGCAGAAGTGCCCCAGCAGTAGAAAGGGTAGCACCATTTCTGAGAAGGTGCAAGTTTGCCTTGGAAGGCTCACATCTACAGAAATATGCTGGATTTCATGAGCCACTTTTTACTAACTTGTCACAGAACCCTGTACCAACTTATGACTGTGTGAGGAATGGAAGGATTCACATTTCCTTGCCAGGACAATGCTATCTTCCCATTCCTGGGTTGACTTGGGTGAGGAGGGGAAAGAGGGAGGAACGTTTGACCGGGTGATAGTTCATGTCCTGCATGTGCCAAGCTGGTGTGAGATGGTCTGAGACTCTCAATTCATCTGCCTCCATGCATATAAAAATCCTCAAAACAGAAAATGTGTTCTTTAACTTCTTGTACTGATGTTGTGTGCCAAAGCACCGCATGTTGTGGTAGCTCACGTCCAACCTTTAAAAAAAACCCCACAGTTCTCAGCAGAGCAGCTGTGGGTTCTTGCAGCAGCTGTTTTCATTGCACTGATTTCGTCTCCCATTTTTCACTGGCAGAGAGGAACCTGGCTAGGATTGCCCTTCAGCCAAATGCATATTAAAAAGAAAACAGAAAAAGAAACAAACAGAATAACAACAACAGAAAACCACCACCTTGTGTGATGGTGCTTCTGGTCTGACAGGGCTGACATGGAAATCAGATACTGGCTCTGTAATGGGCTGGGAACACTGTCTTCATCAGCTTCAACATGGCTTTGAGCATTTCAGTGGTATTTGAGCTGTGGTATTTTGTAGTGCAGAATAGATTTTCCTTACGCAAAACCAGATTCAGCTTTGATTTATTCACAGTACAGGGGCAGATTTTTGTAATATGACTGCAAAAATAATTTAAAACCATTCATACAAGAGAGCAGAGTATAGCTTATAGCTGTCCCCTTAAACTCTTGTGCTGCCTCTGCAGCTTGTCATGCTTTCTGCCTTTCAGATTACTTTTGCTATGAATTCATGTTTAAGTAATTCTGTGTGAAAGTTTCTGAGCAATAGTGAGGTGGCAAGAATTTCAACTCTCTGCTCTTCTGGAGACAAAATTAGTCAGTTCTCAGCTCCTTTTCTTGCACACTTTTCAGACATGGTATACAGAAAGCTGGTAGAAAAGGCACCTGAACAATTTCTACAGATCAGTAGCAGCTTTTTCCTGTTTCCTTGAATCCATTAAATCCAGATGCTCTGCTTGTAAACAAGGACAGTAGATTGCACTAGTGGGTGGGTGGCTCCTTAGGGATGCTGTTCTAGCCAGTGTCAGTGATGTTACAAAGCAGCAGTTAGCTGTCCTTCCTTTCTCTGCGTCAGTCCAGTTTTCCCCCCAACTTCTATCAAGTTAAGATTACAGCCTCTGTAGTATTAACTCAGGACCCCTCTGTAAGTGGCACACTTACTGTTCTGGATATAAACCAGCTCAGTTCCTGTTTATCTACAGCTCTGGAGTTAAAACAGGTCAGCATTTGTTGCTCTTCTTGTGACCAGAAATCAGCCTGTCTACACCGATAAATCGGGCCTTCTCTTGGTAGGATTCCCAGCTGTTCTGACCTCCCTTTTGCATGAATACACCAGTTGTGCCAGAGAGGTGGAGGCAGGTAGAGTGCTCCCTGACTCTTCTGCCTCGAAGAGTGGTGAGTTCAGGAAAAGGTCTGTTTCTAGACACTGCAATCTCTCACCACCTTAAATCTGTTCAGACTCTGGATAGACTTTTCCATGATCATGGAACACGTGCAGTGTTCTGGGGCAGCACAGTTTTGCACAACTTCATTTCTGCCTTGGTGAGGCTGCATCTGGAATATTGTGTCCAGTTCTGGGCCCCTAAGTTCCAGAAGGACAGGGAACTGCTGGAAAGAGTCTAGCACAGAGCCACAGAGATGATGGAGGGAGCTGAGGCTCTTGAACTTGGAGAAGAAGAGACTGAGGGGCGACCTCATCCATGGTTGCAAATATGTTAAGGGCAGTGTCAGGAGGACAGAGCCAGGCTTTGTTCAGTCTTGTCCAGTGACAGGACAAGGGGCAATGGGTGCAAACTGGAACATGGGAGGTTCCATGTAAGTATCAAAAAAACCTTCTTTTCTGTGAGGGTGACAGAGCCCTGGGACAGGCTGCCCAGAGAGGCTGTGGAGTCTCCTTCTCTGGAGACATTCAAACCCACCTGGACACGTTCCTGTGGGATGTGCTCTGGGTGACCCTGCTCTGGCAGAGGGGTTGGACTACATGATCTTTCGAGGTCCCTTCCAAATCCTAAGATTCTGTGATTCTGTGAAGTGTTTTCTTCTTCTGCCAGTGCCAGAAAGCACTGAGGCAGTCTTCCTCTGCAAAAAGGGATAGGACTGATTAGAAAGTAACTAATGAGACTAGCTGACTGTTGTTTGGGTAGACAGTACTTGCATGATAAGTGAGAAATCCAGTGAAATACAAAGCAAGCAGATAAAAGTTAACTTTTTTGGGATTTAATGGAAGGACATCAGTGACTTAACAAGTGTTTCGTCAGTAAGTATCTAAGAAATGCAGGTCTGACTGTATTGTTTTGCTTTTGAGGTATAATGTATTATGCAGTAGAGACATCAGTAGAAGATGGCAGGGTAGCCCATTAGGAGGTGTAATAAAATGAGATTTAAGAGGAAGGCTAATTTTAGCTTATTCTTGGAATTGAAAAAATGGTCCCAGAAGTGTTGTAAGGACAAGCTAATAATGCCTAGCTGAGTAGAGCACAAGTGATAGGAGGGCTGAAGGGTTTTTTTGGTGTGTAACAGCTGCACATTTAGTGTAAAACACAGTCTTTTCACCCCTGTGAGGTACTCTCTGGCTGGAACTATCAGTTGTCTTGAGTCCTTGAAGGAAATAAGTGACATGTTTAACACAAACTTTCTCTGCAGCAGTCTGGGCCTGTAGCTGTGTCCTTGCATTTAATCTTCCTTAGAGGCTAGTGCTCTTCTTTATGTTCCTAAGGATCATTTTGTTTTTCTAAGATAAGAACCCAGCACAGTAGCAGCAGCTGGACTGTGGTACAGAAAATTGAAAAAATGTTGGGAATTGCTTCAGTAACCAGCAGGCTATGTAGAAATACTTTTTTTTGTTCTGTTCTCTTCTTCTCAAATTATCTTTAAAGGATAGGTGTTGTACTTCCTGAGAATATGAAGGGTGTACTTTTAGCATCATGGTCTTGACATCAGGGAAGTTAAAAAATATCCTCAGCATGTAGTCAGTAGAAATTGCTGTTTCAGGTGGCTTTATTGTATCAGAATTACTTACTACACTTCTGAGGGTTTTTTCTTTGTTCTCCTCTTTCTAATTTCCTTATAGTTGTTCTGCACTTATTGTTGAACTGAAGTTGTTCTGAAGAATCCTTCAGGGATTCAGACAGAAAAAGTGCTTAGCCCATCTCTTCTTGTTCATTTCAGACTGCCTCCTAATGTGTCAAGTCTGAGCTTCACATGAGGAAGCTTTATTTGATCCGTGGGAGGGTTTCAGTTAGACTGAGGGATTCTTGAATAAAGGAGTACTGGGGTCTCAATGCCTGGTCAAACATGGAAAATTCACCTTACCCATTAATTCTCTCTGATTGAGAGGTTTGCTTTGCCCCTGTTGCCAGAGATAACTGAACACTGCAGTCCTGGATTGGTACAGAGGAATTTATAGAGGTGAAAAAAAAATGTATTCCCAAACACATTGACACAGATGTGTATTTTCTGGAGTTCGTTTTGTGCATGCCACTTATCTGTGTCCTGTGTTGTGGGATTTTTTTTGGTTTGGTGAGTTTTGGGTTTTTTTGTTTGTTTTTTTTTTTACTGGGCCAATGTTTAATAATGCACGTTCTCCTCCTGTTTTAGCCAAGAGTTGAAACTAAACCTGAAGCTCAGTCTCAACCTCCTCGTGTGCGTGAACAACGTCCCAGGGAAAGACCAGGTTTTCCACCCCGAGGACCTCGACCAGGTAACGTGGATCAGCTGTTGTGTCTGCTTAGGACTAGTTAACGAGAGACTCCTTGATGGGCCTTGTCTGTACCTCGATTGTCTTTGGCTGATGATGAGCTGTCTCTTCCTACTGCCTTCAGCTAGAAATGGAGGAATATGATTTGGAGTGCAAGCAGGTGATGAGTTGTTGCAAAGATTCGTTGGGCAACATTTCCAAGTTTCTGTTTTGTTGAAATGTTTTTTAATAGTCAGGCCTTTTTCTTACGTGCTTGAGCACTTCATGTGGCTTGATGCAGATCTGAAATGCTGACATGGAAATCTGAATCATGTTCTCCATGTCCTCTAACCTTGGAAGTGAGAGCTCTTAAATGTTTGCTTTTGCTCTTTGTTTTGGAAAAAAATCTTCCTACTGTGTCTTCCCAAGTCAGTTGATAATCTTACATGCTTTTTTTTCCACCTTGTGTAATTGTGTAAAATGCTATTCTCAGTTTGGCTCCCTCACGCTTACGAGCAGCCAGCAGCTCTGTGCTGTTTCTTTGCTCTAAGGGTGACAGCAAGTTACAAGTTCTAAGGGGAGGGGGGGACTACTTGGAATAGTGGAAGCTGGCAGCAGCTGGCAGAGCACTGCCTGAAGAAGCAGTTCATCTCGGGGACTCTTGAGCATCTCCACCAGCTCCAGCTAAAATAGTGAAGGCTTTAAGTCAGTGCCTACCAAAGTGTGACACCAATTGGGCTTAAAAGTGCTTTTGACTTTGATAATGGAAGCATATCTTCCTGTGGGGACAGCACTGAAATGGGATTTGAGGAACCAAGAAGGAACAGTGGCATGTTACAGGGCTAACGTTTCTTGGCTTTTTAACATGTCACCTGCTGCAGGGAGGAAAAGCTGCAACTTGTCCCTAAATCAAGCAGCAAGTTTAAGTTTCTGCTACTCTTGAACGTAATACAAGTCATACAGAAAACATGTGACAAGACCTGAGTCTTTTATTTCTGATCTTACAGAGAAGCAGGGGAGAAAAAGCTGAGATCCCAGTTGACCTAAGGCTTCAGCCTTAATGTCTTGTTTTCAGAGGAAGTCAGCAAGCTGTTTATCTGCTTCATGAAACCTTGTGAATGAGCTGGCAAGCTTGGTGTAAATGGGCTTCTAGGGGAAGTAGAGGGTAGAAGGGGGTTCATAACTACACTGTGATGTACTCCGGGTGTCCAAGGGCTAACAGTGTGCTGCTGTCACACTGCAGAGCAGGTCATGAGTTAGGAGGGAGATACCCAGAAAGATTTTATCTTGCGTGCTGCTAAGCATACTAATGCTTTGGTTGAGCTGGGGAGAACAGGAGGAATTCTCACTTGTATTTGGTACCAAAGGGTGGAAGATGAAAGCCAGAAGAGGTGACTGGAGACAGTGTTGTTAATATGAGTGCCAAAGTATATTGCTGTTGCATTAAGGAATTGAGGAAGAGATGACTTAAATCCAAATCTTTCAAGAAGTACATTTTAAGAGGTAGTGAGCTCCTCTTCAGTGTTGTGATTCAAAATGTAACAACCTCTTAAACTTGCCCTGTAGGCCAGGTATTTTAGTTAGCATGGGTTTATTTAACCCAACCAGGGAAACCAGACAAAAAGGAAACAAACGTTTTGTGGCATTACCACAAAAATGTCAGGACAATGTAAAGAGGAAGATCGTGTCCTCCCCCCTGTGTCACCCACTCGAGCTGAAGGCACAAAGTTTTGAGTGAAGGTGCTTGGTCCTCTCCATAGATGTGTTAACCTGAATCTGTGTGCAGTCTGCTAAGGGCAATGGCTCTACCTTCTTCTTGTCAACAACAGGGAGAGGGGACATGGAACAGAATGAGTCGGATAATCGTCGAATAATTCGCTACCCGGACAGCCACCAGCTCTTTGTTGGGAACTTGCCCCATGACATCGATGAGAGTGAACTGAAGGAGTTCTTCATGAGTAAGTAGCCATGTCAGCTGTGGAGACTGAGAAGAAAAACTGTGTTGAGAAGTCACAAAACATTCCCACACAAGGGAACTTCTACATGATATGACACTACTGGTGTTACCTGGAACAAGTGGAGGGGTGGTAGAGCAGGCACTGCAGGTTTGGGTAACGTGGCTTTTCCCTTGTGTTTTCTTAGGCTTTGGAAACGTGGTAGAACTTCGCATAAATACTAAAGGAGTGGGAGGAAAACTGCCTAATTTTGGTTTCGTGGTATTTGATGATTCTGAGCCAGTCCAGCGAATTTTAGTTGCAAAAGTAAGTATTACCATTGAATAGTCTTCAAAGGAGGGATTGATTCCGTAAACCCCAAGTAATGCAGGCCACCCCAGGTTGTGTTGCTGTTATTTCTGGCATTCATTCATGGACAACAGTTGTAAGGCAAGCATAGTTTGGCACACGCATTCTGTCAGGAGTGTTCTGTAGCTTGTGACAGCTGTGCCAGTGTTCCTCAAACCATGTCAGACCAGATTCAGGTTTTTTACCTCTGTACATAGACACCATGTGGAGCTCAACACTTAGGCTTAGAGATCCTTTTAAGATGAAAGTTGAGTATGTAAGCTGTTGAAGGGATCTCTGGATTCTGTGTCCTGGGGCTGAGGAAAAGGAGCGAGGTTATTTGCTGTTGTGACTTGGGGAACTGGAGAGCAGAAAGCAGCAGTTTTAATTTCTAGTAGACCTGGTAGAGCAGTTCTTGAGGATCTTTAGCCCTGAGGTAAAAAGGCTAAAGACAGCAGCGAAGAGGCTAAAGACAACCCTGCCTGCACTTGAGAAAGACATTTTAATTCCTTGCATGCCAAATGAATTGAAAAATGCTGTTCCATTTACTCAAAGGCCTACGGGGCTAAGGTCGTGTGCTGCGGGGAACCTGTTAATTTTTGCCTGTTGCCTGTCAGCGAGGGCGGGCTGAGGCACGTGGAGAGCTCAGTGTTGTGTGTGCCTTGTAGCAGCGGACGTGGTGAAACGGTGACTAACTTGTGCTTGACCACTCTTCCCTGTAAGCCCATTATGTTCCGGGGTGAGGTGCGCTTGAACGTAGAAGAGAAAAAAACAAGAGCCGCTCGTGAGAGGGAGACCCGCGGCGGAGGCGACGACCGTAGGGATATTCGCCGCAATGATAGAGGCCCCGGGGGTCCCCGTGGAATAGTGGGTGGTGGCATGATGCGAGACCGTGATGGAAGAGGACCCCCTCCCAGAGGTGGCATGGCACAGAAACTTGGCTCTGGACGAGGAACCGGGCAGATGGAAGGTCGTTTCACTGGACAGCGTCGCTGAGCATCTCCACTGTGGGCAGACGAGTCTTGGCAGTGGTACATTATCCATCGTGTTTGCATTCTTGTTCATTTTTTATTATTATTTTTTTTTTTTGGCTTTGGAATGTGACACAGCCCTTCTGATCATTTCTTTGATGTGAAAGCATCCTTTGGTTTCCAGTTTAAATTGAGGTGGACGTTCTTTCCCCAGTTTCACGACAGGAGTTACACTGTTAATTTATAAATGTAGACTTGGAGAATTGAGGACTGAAAAAAAAAAAAAAAGAGAGAGGAAAAAAAAAACCAAACACCACTGGTTAAACTATCTGCAACAAACATGGACTAAAGGACACGCCCAATAGAATCCAGGTCCTTTCAGTCAAAAACCCTCTGCTGCACATTTTGTTTAAGTGTTACAGTTTCTGCCTATTACTGTTGGAAACACAAGTAGTGCAATTTGTGCAATTGGAGAAGCTTGCCTTTTTTTTTTTTTTTTTCTCAGAACACTTGGCTCCAAACAAACTCGTGTTTACGCACTCATCAAGATGCACTAATGGGTACTCTGAACTCATTTATATTGACATCTGCAGGAGGCATCGGAGGAAAAAAACCCTTCATCCTCTTTCTCAGACAGAATAGCTTGTGAAACGATGCGGGCATCTGATCTGCTTGCTGTGACCAACATATGTGCACACACAAACCTTAATAAGACTACACGTTTATTCCAGAAGGAATCCATTTAGCTGTAAACTAAACCCAGAGCTCCAAAGTCGTAGCCCTGACCACACCACAGGTTTGATAGCTCACGTCAGATTTTTTTCTATCTGCCCCTCTCCAGTACAGGGATGGCTGCTCAACACACTCCTCCTTCTCCCTCCCCCTTCGGTCAGCATTGTACAGTGAAATTTGTCTTAATTGTATTTTGAGTTCTCTGGTAATGTAATAAGCATGATGGTGCCTTCTATGAATACATCATTCCAGTCTTGCTGGTGATTTTGTACAGTATAGTGTATGAATTACTGTGCTGCAAAGCCGATTGGCTGCAAAGCATTTAAAGGAAATAAGTGAAGAATTGTATTAAAAAAAAAAAATTGCAGTATCTTTTCAATCAGTAAACATTGCTGAAATGATCATCCACCTTGCTCTTCAATTACCAAGTTTGCCTGGTTTTTTTTGCAGAGGGGGGGAAGGGAGGATGAAGGCATCCAAGTAGTCTCCAGGTTGTCTCTTCTCTTTATAATTGATGTCAAAGTAAAAGAAAACTTGAGCTGAAATCTCTCTTGTGCGTGAATTTCAGAAGTCAGTCAAGAATGGTGAACACTTTTGGCCAGCTCGTAGTCAGTAGGGCTGAGCATTCTTTGTGAGGGTGAGCTTATCAAATGAGGATACTGCAATTTTCAGAGAACAAAACAGCAGCTCTTAAGTATTTGCATTTTCCAGTTGTGCTTTTCAAAAAACTCTTACTCATTTTGCACATAACTCTCAGTTGAAGATGACACTTGTGTGGCTCCGGACTGAAGGATAGAAAGGAGACATCCTCTTCTTCAGTGTGACCAGTGGGTTTTCCCAGTGGACAAGTCTGTTTCCGGGTAACGTTCCGGAGTGCATTCCCATTAACTGCAGCTGCAGCAGACAGAACAGCTCCGTGTGCAGCAGGTGCCTGGCTTGGAGGTGCCAGGGGCCAAAGCGGGGGGTGTTTGTGGGTGCGCCTGTGCCAGAGCGTGACCACCCCAAGCTGCTTGTCAGCATGGAAGACCTGAAATCCAACAATGGCAGTTCCAAGCAGAAGCAGATAGGGCACCACAGCCACCTGTTTGTGGATTGTGCAGTCGTTTGCTGGAACTGAGTAAAAGTGGTGCACGTGTTTCCCATACCTTAGGCACAGTGAAGTGGCACCTGTTTGTTTTCTCCCAGACTCGAGGTCTTCTGTGTTGGATGGTAAGTCTTGCACTATTGTCATACACCTTTTTTTTTTTTCCAGGGCACATTTCTACAAGTTTCCATGGTTATATTTCAGGTTTTTTTGTCGAAGCTCTTGCGTTTTCAGCTGTTACCTGGAAATCTGTAGTACTTGAACTGCTTGCCACACAACACCGCTACGTAGGTTTGAAGCCTTCAGACAAATTGCTGTCATCACTTAGCAGTTTGCCTCCAGTGTGTTCTGTGTAGCCTTTCTGTTATTTTCTTTTTGTTGTGCTGTGGTGTTTTGCTGCCACTTAATTCATTTGTATGGCAAATGGCTCTGGGAATAATCTCCACAACAAGAAGCAGAGTATCAGCAAGAGTTACTGAGCCGTTCTGCGTTCTGGCTTGCTTCTTGTTCAAGTGACATGAGCAACCATTGGAACATCGTCCAGAGAAGTTTACATGGTGATAGCTCACCTGCTGTACTGTGGACTCTTACGTGTTCTCGACCCTCTCGATAGTAGATGTACCTCTTAGAGCAAAGGAAGGGATTCACTGACCATCACTGTTAGTTGCTGATTTGTGGATGGTGGGAATATTTTGTCATTACGGTTCAATTTCAACAAACTCAGCTGCCCATCTTGGCTTTAGGTATACAAGACAGTGGATTGCCACCTTTATTGCTGTAACGTGTCAAGCATTATATGCTAGTAGATTCTAGTTTAATTGTTGCAGGTGGAAAGTATTTTTACTTTTAAGTTTCCATTCTGAATGTGTTTTGACTAAACATACCAATAAACTACTGATGTCTGCAGCATTTATCATGTCCCTAATTGTCTTGAAGGCAGGTTGCTGGAGAGCACTGTGTCATCCCTTGCTGTACAGAAAATGGTCTTTGAATCCCACTGTTCCTGGCTTGTCCACTTGGTGGTGGGAAGCTGGAACACTGTGTGTCACGTCCCTCGGTTGCAGTGGGGGCCCTGAGTCAGTAAGCTCTGGTTTGCTGTGGCTGTATCAGCTCCTTTCCTGCAACATGGGTTGGAAACCCTGACAGTGCTGCTGTGAGAGGTCCTGGCCTGGCTCCAGAGCTGGCAGGCGAGGAAATGGGACGTGATGTGTTCGTGTTTCTGGTGGCCAACAAGGCATTGTCCTTGGGACAGGTGGGTCCCCTCCTTCTGGTGGCTTCTCACCTCAGGCTGTGTGTAGCCCAAGGAGGACAGCTCCTCTGGGTTGTATCCCAGGTGGGATTCCTCTGCTCCACGCTGGGCTGGGGGGGGCTGTGGCAGCTGGCGTTGGGACTACAGCTAAAACAGTGATGGTGCTGGGAGCAACGTGAGCTGAGTTGTCCTAAAAAAACAAATCTGGAGCTGCTTGCTGTCAACTTTAGTGTTGCTTGTTCCTGATACTGTGGAACTGATAGTTGTACTGCAAGATAGTCCCTGCTTTTTCCCTTGTTTTTTGTGGCATTGTCAGTGCCAGCATGTACCCAGAAAGACTGGTAAAAGGGCTATTCTTACACTGCTTGTAGATAAATTGTGTCTGAATCATGGAATCTGCACGGAGCTGTTCCTCTCCAGGCGAAGTTCCGTGTAGCTGCTTTGCTGTGTCCTGAAGCCCTCTGTCCAGTGCTGTCATGGCTGTAGTATTTTCTAGCAAATGGCAGCTGGGAAGTGTCTGAAAAGTTGTACAGTTGCATGGGTTGAAATACTGGAATGAAAAAATCAGATCCTGTACCAGATCCCTAAGCCCAAGTCGCCAGAAACTCCTCTGAGGAGCTACCTAAACAGCCACAAGATCTGCTGGCACCAAAGACCCCCGAAGGAACATGGTCCCTCAATGCCACCTGCAGCGTTCAGACCTTCCCAGGCTGCGTGAGGTGCAGTGTGTAAACTCCTCTTTATCCGGGGCTGGGGAGGAGATGGCAGAGGGCACCATGGCTGAAACCACACAGGCTCGGGCAGTTTTACTCGTGGCCATGAAGTCGTACGTATTTTAAATAGCTCTGGAGCAAATTTTATCAGCACCTCGTGTAGGCTTTGTGGCTGAGCCTGCCGTGATCAGCCTGTACACCTTTTGGTTTCTATTTATGTGGTTGAGCTGGAGCAAGGTCAAAGTCATTCCTTGTGCATAGAGGAATGATAGCTGGGGGGGGCTCGTGGCAGAGACAGGAGGAAAGGCCAGGGGGCAGCAGAAGGATGTCAGAAAGCCACCTCCAGTGCTGCAGTGGCCTGGCCTGGCCACACTGAGGTGCCATCATGTTCTTGTGGAGGTGATTTTAGAAGCATTTGCCTCCACAGCGGCAGCTGGGCTTGTGTGTGAAGAAATACAGTGTGGAAAAGGGGGTTTATTGGACGTGATGGAAGAGGAGACAGCAGGCTGCCAGATAATCCTTGGGAAAGCTCCTCTCAGGGTTAAAGTTTGGCTTATTAAAAGGGGAAGAAAAAGAGTTTGGGGTGTCAGTGAACCTTTCTTGTCTTTGGACTGGTGTCTCCTGGGCGTGAGTTGAAATGAGACATCTCAGTAATGGTGTTTCTGATGCTGCTTCTGCAGCGCTCACCGTTCCCCCTGACAAGTGGGGACAGTGTGAAGTACAGTGTGTATTTTTTGCACATGTATGAAATAAAGTTGAGGGCAGCTTTTACAGATGCTGACACAATGCTATTCCAAGGTGCCTTGTTTCAATGCAAGCTTTCATTGCAGACCTTTCTATAACACTGAAGTCCCTGAGTCCCCCGAGAAGAAAGGTGCAGGGATGAAACCCAGGGGTGCTTGCCATGCAGGGCCACGCAGGTGTTGTCATGTTGTCACACAGGAGTGTGACCCAGGGATCTGACCTGGGTCTGTGCAGAGCCAGGAAGCACCAGGCAAACAGGGTCACCTGTCCCAGTGCCCCCTGGCAGGAGGAGTTTAGAGCAGAATGACACAAACTCGACTGGAGAATTGTTTCACCTTTTCCTTTGTTGGTTTTTTTCCCCCTGCTTTATTTTTTGAAGGGTTTTTTTCCCCAGGGGTTGGTGTCAATTCTTTTCACCCTCACCGTATTTATAGGAAACAATCCTCAAGTGAAAAGCCAATTGATGGGGCTCAGGACACAAACCCAGAGTTTCAGCCGCCCGAGCAGCTCCCGCAGCTGCTGCTTGTTCTGCTGCTGCCCCTGGGTCGGTGGGAAGGAGGAGCTGGGGAGGGGTCCTGCTGGGGAGGGAGGGTGGGGTTGGTGTCAATTCTTTTCACCCTCACCGTATTTATAGGAAACAATCCTCAAGTGAAAAGCCAATTGATGGGGCTCAGGACACAAACCCAGAGTTTCAGCCGCCCGAGCAGCTCCCGCAGCTGCTGCTTGTTCTGCTGCTGCCCCTGGGTCGGTGGGAAGGAGGAGCTGGGGAGGGGTCCTGCTGGGGAGGGAGGGTCCCTGGGTCCCGAGGGGGTGCCCAGGGCCGGGGGAGGGGGGCTGGTGCTGGAGCTGCTGTCGCTGCTGCAGGGC